CCGAACGTTCTTTAACTAGACTTACATAATAGTCATTAAACGGATTTGACAATCCTTGTCCTGATAGCTCTTGACCATTGTGGCTGATCTTTAAAACTTGTTTCGTGGCTTACGAACGACCCAATACAGAGTTTAGTTTTTTTCCACACAACGTCGGCTCTGTTATCACAAGAAAGAAAAAATTCAGAAAAATAAATTTTCTTAGCATTTTGGAGTTCTTTGTTCGATTGGTTTTGATAACGTTTAAATACTGTTAGTTGTTCGATTGATTTTGTTTTTACAATCTTTTGCCAAATACGTAGGCAAAGATCGTTTTACGTAAAAATATGTCCACCACAGAGTGCTATGGGTGGGTTTACAGTACGCACACGCACGTCGTGGGGACTACGGTACCGAGCAGTTCACATGGCACTTGCGTCAATTCGATATTGCGACCACGCGGGGGCTATAGCGAGAGGACAGCACTAAAGCGGATACCGCCGTGCTCCCAAATTGTGCTTTACTTTGGGGAATACATTTGAGTTCGCTCATTTGCATTAGACAGTGCACCCACAGTGCCAATCCTCCCACAGCGGTGGGGGCTTTCCGCATCCGAGAACGCCTGCGCACTGCTCTTTCTACGCCCCGCGACGACAAATAGCGCCCCCCGCCCCCCTCCCCCCCCCCCCCCCCCACACACACACACACCTATCCGAAGGGGAAGACTCCTAATCTCCGGCCCGCCCAGCCGTTCTGACTTAGCGAAAACTGTTCACCCCAAAATGCTTAGATTTTCGCCGAGTAAGAAGTAAGCATTTGCTACTCCAGTGGGACAGCCCTCCCTCTCACCTTAGCAGTGGACATCATTTGTTCCTATTGACCACTTAGCCCCTCTCAGCAAAAACGAAGGGCACGCTTTGTTGGTGTGGGACCCCTAGCGCCGAGGCTTTAGCTCGTCACACGGGAGCCTGGAGCGCGCGCGGAGAACCTTTCGGCGGAGAAATGACCGACCACCCAGTGAGTGAATACCCAGTACTCAGACTCCTTGGGGGCCGATCGTTCGATCGTCGGAGAGTTCCGACTGCGGCGGCGGCCGCCACTGTTGTTATCTGCGATAAACAGTGTTGCTGCTATCAACGTGGCCTGCACTCCTAGAGCATTGCAAGCGTCACGATGACACACTCGTATCCTCGTTAGAGCGTCATGCCGCGGAGTTCGGTACTACCGAGGCATAAACAACATATAGAAGGAAAGTCAAGCTGCGGGCGAACCCTAAAAAGGAGAATGATAAATATGCTATTAAATATTGATGCTATTAGTTTGTAAACCGAATGAGGCCTCGGGGCTACACTATTTGCAACACAGACCAGGACGTTAAAAAAAAAGAATATCGATCATTAAAATAGCGTTAAATGAGTTGCTGCTCACTCTTTTAGCGAAGAAGTCCATGCCGTCAAGTCCAGGTAACAGCATTTTTAGTATTTCCCAACATAAAAGGTTGTGGCCGAACCTAACGCTGACACATCACTGGTAGAGAATTTGTCCCCGCGCTAGCTTATAGTGGAATGACGTCAAAATCCGAGTACACAGGCTTTTATCGTTCTAACGCTATTGACTCGTAACCTGTCCCACGAGTGCTTTATACTACGTTTTATTATTAAAACGCTTTGCAATTTCGTTGAATGGACAAACATAAGATCGCCATCTAAAATCACCAGAAGTGGATTCACGTTTGTTGATATCAGATATTTAACGTTTCAAGCTTGATACTACCAATAAGAGGCAAAAAAAATGGATATAAAAACTTTAATTATGGCCTGTGGGAGCCACTGGTTTCCCTCCCCCGAGAAGGCGTAAGCCGCGGACGTTCCAGGCGAAGCCGCCTGACTCCGAGCCTGGTCCCTCCGTAGTGTGTCGGGAAGAGTACGTCACCATGCTGGCCTACTCTCTCGCACTCCTCCGCGCGTCTCCCGTTTTCGGAGACGAACGAGATCACGCGTTAAAGTTGGGCCTGCCCGCCTTCGAGCGGGCGGCCGTCTGGTCGAGGAGTCCTAGACTGGACTCCGGGCGACGGCGCGAGTCGCGGCGTACGAGCTCGTCCGACCGGCGATGATGCGGCGCTAGCGTTTCCCCTGGCTCTGACAGTCGGCGTCCCCTTAGTGGACGTCCGTCTGCCGAGAGGCCCGTCTGCCGATGGCTCCGCTCGCAATTGCCCATTTGTCTCTCAAGTCGGCGGGCGTTGCGGGCACACTGTGTCCACGGCTCGCTTGACCACAGTGTCCTGTTGGGGACCCCTGGTACTCAGTAAACGCTGTTCAATACCGTAATCATCATTCTTGGCATGACGTTCGACGAACCCGGCGTGGCGACCGCCCTCGCTTTTAGCCGCCGGCCGCGCAGTGGGACGGGCATCGGATTCCCCTTTGAGCACCGATCGCCTTACGGGAAGGTGCGCAACCTTTCCTCCCCCCACAGGCCACACACAAACAGAAAGAAATAGCGCGAATAAGCTTCAAAATTAAAAGAATAATAAAACGCAATTTCCGACGTTCTTTTTTTACGTCGAAGTCGTATCTTCTGAGCGCCAAGAGAAAACTTTAAAGCGGCGGCGCAACGATGATAAGTGGGAATGTTTTACATTTAACAGGAGCGCACTGGCACAAGTGGGACCCAAGTTCTCAGGCAACGCCACCGAACAAGAAGCTTGCTTGTCGCGGTATACTTTCAAGGATAAAAACATACTTTTATTTTTTAGTCTCCACTTAAAAAAATCTTGAAAACGTAAGACAAGGGTGGCAGTGCTGGCATAGTACCCGCAGTGTAACAATCTTGTAATGCGGCTCATAAATACACGAGTATTGCGTGAGCAGTGAATTTCCGCTCGATGACAATCAATGGCTCGACGAGCATTCGTGTAGTGGCTCGTGTCAAATCGCTGCTGTGAAGTGAATAGCTGTACTCTAACAATGTCGGGGGGATTGGGGACCGAGTGGACTAGCGCATACCAGATCGGAGCACGTAAAGCGAAAGTTCGGGCTGTCGAACCAAGGGATCCTGGGTTCAATCCCTACCCCTGCCCATTTCGACCTGGATGAGCATCGTACCGGCGTGCAGTCGTGTGCCACAACTGCCTGGTGCACGTTAAAGATTCCCAGGCTAGCGGTTGTACTGCACTGGCTAAATTGCTCATCTACAGCGAGTGACTCTTCGAAACTTTGAAACGGCTGACCAACTACACGCTGTATAAATATCCAGACAACCCCAATCATTTTTATTCTAACAATGTCTGGAATTCAGCATGTTTCCCATGCTTCGTCGATCCCAGCAAGCACGTGGCTATTTATGATGAACATTGGCTGTATATAATCGGGCACCAGATCATGTGACCACTTATTCGCGCTGCGATTTGAGAAGGCGAACGCTGCTGTATAGTCCGTTACCCTTTAAGAACCCAGACGATGCTCCACCCGATGCTCCGCCTAGAGTGCGAGGTTCCTGCCTTTGATAACATGGCAGCACGCGCAGCCGAAGCCCAGCAGAAAGTAACGAACTCACGCTGGAGGCGGAGTATCTACTGGATTATTAGACTGCCAACGACTGTCTAATTAGACTGATTGAGCTAGTCCGCTGAATCTGGGCGGCCAACGGAGACCTGGACTAAGGGCACCGACCAGAGACCAAAAAGTCCTTTCACTTTTCGATTAATAAAGTTTACGATTATGATGTTGATGATCAACGACTGTAGTTATTCTCTTTTTAGCGACTGCTATTGCGCGGAGAAGGAAAAACTAACGCGGGAGGGGTTCATGGTGACTGCTTCGTAGTGTCTGCCTGCACATGCGGTACACGCTTCGTTTCATCCAGCCGGGGCAGAGCCGTACATAGAAAGAGTTTGGCCATTCATTGGGAAGTTTAGGACGCAAATGAGGAGACGCCAATGGCCGAGAGCGGGCTGGGCGTATTCCAGGGCGTCTTCACAGATCCGAATGTGGCTAGCCAAAAGCCGCGAATACCCTGACGGTGGTCGAGAGAAAAAAAGTTAATAAGCGCGTCAGAGTAACTGTCGGTGTCTCAAAATATGGTGCACGTGATTTTTCTATCACAGTCATGCAAAATCAAATTTTAGAAGAACGATCGGCGTGATTTGTACGGTAGCCGCCGAGGGTCAGGAAAATGTTGTCCAAGCGGTCAGACTCCGACCGAGCAAAACTGAGTTCAAGGGGCCCATTCGGTTCTTACACCTTTTTGCATGATCCTAATCGAAACGTCGAATGCACTATGTGTTAGACCTTGAAGAATTACTCCATTATTCTCTTACGGGTTCACTAAAACTGTTTCTCGCTAAAACCGCTAGGGGATCATTTCCGTCTTCTGGTAGGCCAAAAGAGCACGTCAAGCCTTCTACTTGCTTCTCGTGCACGTCCTGGCTCTGCACTCTTCTCCCATTAACCAAACCCTCTCTATATACGGCTCTGAGCCGGGGTCGCACTGTTCATATACCATAGAAACGACAGTTTAAAAACACGAGTCACCGCAAAATCCGTGGTTCGAACGTCGCGTAGCCCAAGTTTTTCCTTGAAGTCACTGCCATGTGTCATTCGAAGCCCGGATCTCGCGCTGACTCGCGTTTGAATCTGTTTGCACACTGTCTTTTGTTTGACGTATAAGCACTGTGACTCCGGCTTTCCAGTTGCCTTTTCGAACGCCTACACAACTTCCAAATGCTTGTCGTCCAGGTGAAAAATGCCGAGTCACTGGGCTGTGGATGCGTGTGCGGCATCTGGTATCCGCAGAAGGGAGCTAGTGCGCATGATCAGAGGGCATTCTACAGAGATTGTAGGGCACAGATAGCGGTTATTGGAATGGTTCATAGAAAACGCTGAAAGTAACTCCACCACCCACGTATCCAAGCAGAGAATGTCTGCGCACACATGTAGGACTCTTCGCCTCATCGAAATCGAATTTTCGTACGTCTATGTATTTTCCCAGTGCTAATCACCCAGTAGACAACAGAACGTAGATTTTGAGTATTAAAATAGTTTATGGGAACACTGAAAGTCACTCCACCTTCCATATGTTCAAGGAGAGAATGTCTTTCCAAGCTGCACGTTCGAACGCCAATATAAAACGCTAAAAGTCACACCACCACTCAAGTGTTAAAAAAAAATAAAGATTATGTCCTCATATAGTACGCTCTTCGCTTCAAGCAAGTTGCATTTTCGAACACCTATATTGAACACTAAAAGTCGACGTCGTGTCCAAGGAATGTATCAGTGCGACAAAACGTCAACGCCACTGGACGGACCACTCGCTGCCGCGTTCCCGAGCCCGGGGTCCCTCCATCCTCCGAAGGCCCTCTCGATCTCGGCCGCCAGCTCGAGGCAAAGCCGGTCGTTGTTCCTCGCTGCCACTAACTGCACACCGACCGGAAGCCCGGACTTTCGGCCCAGTCCGACGGGACACGCCGTGGCTGGCAGGCGAAGCACGTTGAACACTCCGGTGTAGGCGAAGTTGAAGGCCCTGAACGTCGGCACCCTGTGGTACGGCGCCGGCTCCGGGTGAGTCGGCAAAAGCAGCACGCCGTCTTCGCCCAGCAGAGTCTCCAGGTCTCTCTGGAGCGCGTCGGCCTTGGCGCAGAGGCGGCGAGATGCGGCTGAGTCCTTAGCGGGACCGAGTTTCTCGAGCAGCACGAGGCTGATGGAGATGAAGGTGTGCGACGACACCCCCGCCATCCAGCGGAGGAGCTCCGTGCCAGGGGACATGGGGCAACCGCTGTCCCGCAGGAGGTCTGCGAACGTCGGCGAGTCTCCGGAGGTCATCATAGCCGTCCACATCTCGAAGGCGTACCGCAGAGAGGGTACCTTGGCGGCGCTAACTTGCAGGCCTGCCCGTTGCTCCAGGTGAGTCGCCACCTTCGAAGGACGGGAAAAATATTAAAGTTGAATTTTGATCAATGGTATAGTGTCCGCGCAACACGGCCTAATAAAGCTTTCATGGACCAGTTCTGGTTTTCGGTCATCCTAAAAATACCAAAGAATAGTTTCATGCGAAATATAACACGCTTCACGGATGGGTATTTTAATTTACGTCATTTAATTTAACGAAACAACACCATGACCGTCGAGAGCGAAACGTTTCTCTACAAGGACGTTATAGTGGGCAGGAGGTGGCGTCCGTATTCTGCATACATGAAGCGAAATGTAACGGAAGTAAACGTGGCCTCGACATGTCCCCTCAATTTCTCAGCCATGGAGACGATCCTTTTCCTGTGTCTTTTTCCTTAAACTAAATCTCCTTTGCCACGGTCTCAGGTGACTTTCATAATGATTAGGAGACTCGGTTGACGAACGCCGCCAGTAAATATAGGTCAAACAACCGCGTTGCCATGGCAACGAAGTTGAGACGTCATTAAAAAATGCCACCTCAGTCTCTCGGCCAATGAGACAGTACTTTTCCTATGCTTTTTTTTTCTGTTAAGTTTTTTTTTTACCACAGTCTCGGATAATTTTTATAAAAATCAAGAAACTAAGTTAATGAACGTCGCCATTTAATACGGGGCAACGTGATTGTTTGTCTCATATTTACAAGATGGCGACCACTGAACACAAGTCGAACAGATGAAATTTGAAGCCCAAGACTTGCCTGACCACCAGGAAGTCGGCCTGTGGTGGACGCTCTCAACACCGCGCCAAGAGCGTCGTCTACAGCGAGTCGTCCGATAGCGCGGATTTGGAAATCGAGCTTATCAGCCGTCGTACGCACGAACGCTGAGAATAGCACCGAGAGCTGAGAAAGCTGTACAAGCCCTGCTTCCAGCAGATCTCCGATTCCTCCTCCATGATGAGTATGCGAGTTCGCATCAAAACTTCTTTTGGAGCGGCGATCGTATCGATAGCCAGCCGCGACAGCTGGCAGATTAAGCTGACCAAGCCTAATGTAGCCGACCGAGCGGCGAGCAGACGATGGGAGCGGCGTGTTGGTTATGGTTGATGGCGTCGGTGCGCGAGGCAATCTGGGATTGAGTCCTTTTTCGGAGTCAGTGAGCATGACGTCGTGCCTGGTCTATGAGTATTTAAACGACCTTGGTTCTCTCAAATGGTTTTAGGAAAACAAATTCACAAAAATGCAATAAGGCGTACAAAATTAAACAAAATCTCCTGTCCTTTTTTGTATACACTTTGGTTAGGTGGTATAAATACAAATTCAAGAGCAGCTTACAATTTTTTTTTTTTTTGCATAGATCCATGTTATGTGATTTGCGTTTGTAGTGGAAACAAATATATGTTTAGAGCGTTAATGCCTGAAATAAGAGCAATACGCATCTATTTCTGTCATTTGGCGACATTTTGGGGGTCTTGTATTCACGATTTTTAATAAATGTCGCTTACAAGATACTATGTGAGTGAAGTTACGTACATCGGGTATCGGCTGTATCATTGACGATAGAGAGGCAGTCGACAGGATCGTGTGCAGAGCAACAAGAACATAGCCTTTAATGGACGTCGGCGGTATTTACCAAATAGCGCCGGGCGCACTGCGCATGACTAGTGCCTTGTCATACGAGGCTTTGTACATGATAAGCCCGATACATCGGGTGCTATCGGTTTAATTTCTTGTATTGTTACATAATATATATATATATATATATATATATATATTAATTTTAAAATTTAACCGAACAGTCGTGCAAACATTTTTAGAGCGCAGCTCTTAGGGGCCCGTTCCCGGCTTGAGCGGCGTCGCCGTCGCCGTCGCCGTCGCCGTCGCCGTCGGCGTCGCCGTCGCCGTCGGCGTAACCGCGCGGTGCATTATGGGTAAATTTCCCCGCTAAATCTAGCGGAAAAAATTTCCCCGCTAAATCTAGCGGAAAACTTTCCCCGCTAAATCTAGCGGAAAAAATTTCCCCGCTAAATCTAGCGGAAAAAATTTCCCCGCTAAATCTAGCGGAAAAATTTCCCCGTCAAATCTAGCGGAAACAATTTTCCCGCTAAATCTAGCGGAAAACTTTCCCCGCTAAATCTAGCGGAAAAAATTTCCCCGCTAAATCTAGCGGGAAAAATTTCCCCGCTAAATCTAGCGGGAAAATTTCCCCGTCAAATGTAGCGGAAAAAATTTTCCCGCTAAATCTAGCGGGAAACTTTCCCCGCTAAATCCTAGCGGAAAAAATTTCCCCGCTAAATGTAGCGGAAAAAATTTCCCCGCTAAATCTAGCGGAAAACTTTCCCCGCTAAATCTAGCGGAAAAAATTTTCCCGCTAAATCTAGCGGAAAAATTTCCCCGCTAAATCTAGCGGAAAAAAATTCCCCGCTAAATCTAGCGGAAAAAATTTCCCCGCTAAATCTAGCGGAAAACTTTCCCCGCTAAATCTAGCGGAAAAAATTTCCCCGCTAAATCTAGCGGAAAAATTTTGGTCACGTGACCCCCTCCCGAGGTCACGTGACCTCTGAGGGGGCACGTGTTTGCCCCCACGTGACCCCACCAAGGTCACGTGCCCTCGGGGGGGTCACGTGACCCCCCCCCCCCCCCCGAGAACACGTGGCCCTCAGTACCCTCCCCTCCTCCTCCTCAAGAGCTGCGCTCCAATTCGGCGTTACAGGGAGTGGTAAACGACTTTCACTTTTTTTAAATGTCTTTAATATTAATATTTTCTGTGCCTGGCTCTAAGAAATAGGGGGTGTATAGAGGTACACCCTTTGTCCCATATGTAACACCCCAAAGCAACAATTCGACGTTCAGTCCACAGACGTCGAACCGACGATACCAACTTTCAAGAGCGGCTTGATAGTCGACCGATACAACGTATTAAAATAGATCATGTATGCATTAAAAGCTACAATAAGACAATCGAGGTTTTTCTTTGGCCGGGCTTCAAAACCCATGGTTTTTTTCTGTATTTTTTTTTGTAATATTTCATACGCGCGTACGTTATATCCAACAGCTACCAAGCCGCTCGTAAAAGTTGGTACCGCCAGCTCGACGTCAGTGGACTGAACGCCCAGATGTAGTCTTGGGGTGTTTCATGCGGGACAAGGGGTGTACCTCTATACACCCCCTCTTTCTAAGAGTATATATCCGCTTCCTGTCTCAACCTTATTTCCGCTTCCTTGTTGTATCCTGTGTTAGACTGCTCAGATACATGTCCACACATCTGAATCTGCTGAATACGCATGTTAACATAACTGCAACTTTAATACTTCATGATTTAGCTTTAAAAGTTGTACAAGTTAACATAATTTGAATTAGACTGGTCGTATTAGGTGCAATCGTAAAACTAAATAGGTAAATAAAATTCCTCGTATGATTATTTCAATATTTAACATAATTAAAAATAATATTGACGCATGCGCGGAGGAGTTGGCAATGCACGCTTCTGCCAGGCAGAGGAAAGCGGTTCGACCCCCGCTCGACCCGATTCCTTCTTTTATCTTCTATTATCTGCTACATTGGAATTTTCTATATTGAATTACTGACCTGCGCATTTATTATTTCGTTCGTTCGTTTACAAAGTGATACATTTCTTTTGTGACCAGCCGCTGTTGCCAATTTGGGGAGGGGGGCCAGAAAAAAGCTGAACAAATGCAGCTTTTTTCCTCAGTCCCCTTCCATCATGTACTGGTATTGATGGAGAAATAAACATTATTATTATTATGATGCTATACCCTATAGGAAGGTCCAAGCTCATTCTCGGCTGTCACCGTTGAAGTGAACGCTGAAGAAAGGAGCCATGGGCAGCGTGTCTGGTTTGCCAACAGACTGAACGTTTATTCCACGCTGCCGATTGCTGTTATCAGTTCGGACGATCTTGATTAATTGGCGGTGGAAAGTTTATAAAGTAAACAAAACTGGCTTCCGTCAGCCGCGCCAGCCGCAGTGCAGCCGCAGCATACGCAGCGTCACTCGCTCCCTTACACTCGTGTGTTCCAGTTCGGAAGATTTCTGAAATAACCGCCTGTATAAGAGCAGCGGTTAAAGCGTCGCTTCGGGACAGTCCCGTCGCCGACGCAGTATGGTCGATACCTTCTGTTTTAGTTGGTAGGCACAAATTCGCCTTATTAAACATTATATTTAGTTATGAATTCATCTTTTTTTTTAATTCCTTGACAATATGATATTCTCCTCTCATGTCGGGCTCAAAAACACTTTTGAAAAGTAATTGTATCTTGACGTAACACGGGAACATTCTCGTGGAAAAGCAAACGCACTCAACTTAAGACCCTAGACTGTGCCAGAAGATTTATTCCTTCGTCCTCTAGTAAGGCTCTGGGATAGACCCTTTTTCGAAAGTGCGCGACATCTAGTAGCCGCTGCATCAACTATCCGAGTCCGCTATTGTTTGGGCACGAACTCTGCGCCCCCATTGGACACGAGGTCTGCGTCAGCGTTCGGCGTGAACTCGAACCCAATCAAATGCTTCGTGCCACAATAATGGCGACACCTATGCTGCTTGATGGGGCTTTGGAAAAAGGGTATATTATTAGGTTGAAAAGGAAAAGTGAAAACGGACTGGTGCGTGCCAAATTGTAACTTGTAAAACACAATATGTCACCTGTATGCATGCTCCATATGTATATTGGACACATCACTCTAAAAAGCGATATATCACTGTCATGTAGTGACAAGGTATATTTGTTGTTATCGTTGTCAGCGCCTATCACCAACGCAAGCCGCGTTCGCTTATCATAACATGCGCAGTGTATATAAACGCTCATACGGAAATAAACTGTTCTGTTCCCACCGCGCTGTCTGAAGGATCTATTACATTGGCGACGAGGCGAATTGACGGACGGGCGAGTCCCGGTCGAGTAAGGCAAGATGTCGGTCGGCAGGATCGGCGAATATCGTCTCGGCACGAATGCGTCCTGGGATGAATACGTCGAACGGCTAGAGATGTTCTGCGCTGCAAACAAGATAA